TTAATGAGCATTCTATAAATCAGAATTCCTTAATCAAATTGCTACTGTTTTGCCATAATCAATGTTCTCAGATTCAGTGTAGCTAGGCAGATACAACTGATGATGAAGCTGATTCATTACATTTTCTTGCTAGAAGTAAATCTTTACTAAAATGAGGTTGATGACATAACATCTGTTGCTATCAATAGATAGCCCTTGATAGCTGCCTCTGCAAAGGAGCACATTTGTGCACAAGTACAGATCTGTTTCACTTTAGTTGTTGCTGGTTTTCTTCTTTTTTTCTGTTTTACAGGACTAGACCCACTGGTATGTTTTAGTATGAATCACTATGTGAGAAATACTTTCCATTGTCAAAATGCAGTATGCTGAACAACCATTACCTTTAATAGGTATAAAAGACATTCAGCATCTTCTGGATTCCAGCTTCTAACTGCAGGGAGGGATCTCGCTACTTAGAACAGTAAGTTGCATAAATTGAAATGGCAGCACCATCCCTGATGTCTAGTTATAGAAAAGTAAATGTAGATGAAAGAGTTCAACAACTCTTGAATATGACAATTGCCATACAAGATGAAGCCAATGATAAATCTGTTACATTTTCTGTGAGCATTTGGTTAAGAACTTCAAGGAATGGTATAAAAATTTCAGATTATGGATAGCTTTGGCATAATTTCTGCTTTGAAAGAATGTTACTTTTTGCATTCCACATGAAGTTTGAAAAGTTGTACTCTAAGACTAGTATTAGATCAAAAACTGAGCAATAGGGAGTCAGGCTGAAAAAAAATTCAGACATTTGTACAAGGATTTCTTGTTCAGCTTCTGCTGAAGACAATGTGAGTTCTATGAACGGAAGAAGTGTAGGGTGGGCTCCCCCCTCCCTTTTTTTCCTCCTGTCTCAAGAACACCAAAAAAGTGATTCTGGTCTCACTTGTCATTTTAAACAAAATTAGTTTGACCATAATTATGCTGTTGCTAGCATAAACCTTGTTTCTTGTATGACTAAACTCCCAATAGGCAAACACCATCTGCCTGTGGAAGGAAAAGAGAAGTCACCACTGAGACAATGTCTAACTCATTAGGAGCTGAGAAATGTCGTCTACTACAAAAGCTACATAGCAATATCTTTAGAAATCTCTAACTCCACATTCAGTGCATTTGTTTGTTGAGGTTCTTCCTTCAATACTGAAGACGTTTCCCCCTATTAAACTGAAGAGTTTTCAAACAAACAGCTTTTTTCCAGAGCCAAATTCGCATCAGGTGCCAGTGCGTGACATTTTACTGACTTCCTTGAAACAGTATATGATCTTGGAAAATTGTCTTACAGCTATGAACATGGACATTCAGATTGTGATAGAGCAACATAAATAATAGTGGCACATCAATTTACCCTTGCAGGAACAATGAGTATCGTTTACTGCTGTAATACATTTTTGATATTTCTCCACAGTATCAATAGGAATCTAGAAAAAGCTGTGACACTTTTTTCGGGCAGTTAAATTTCAGCAAGTTCTAAAAGACACATCTTTGTTTTGGATTTTATTCATGTAAATATAAACATAAACTTTAAAAAAAGTTGTTTTAGCTGAAATAATAGTTGTATACTCTCTGGTTTAGTAAAGTACTATAATTTTGGAACTTGTTTTTTCTTCCTGCTCTAAAATGATATTAAAATTTTATAAACCAGATAAAAACAAATGAAGAGCACACAAAGGACCAAAGTTAGCTACTTAAGAGTATGTATAAAAGTATGTTTCTTTTGCAGAATACAGCTGCTTTCTTAGCAGGACTACACAGTCATCTCAATAGTTCTGAAAGGTGGATGTTTCCAGTTGACTGATGTCAGATCCGTAGGTATGAAAGTCGTTGCGTGGGGAGAGGCGAATAGCAGTAGGATTCCTACAGAAGAGCTGTCCAGCACCAGCTGTGGTGCCTTCTGTTTTCTTCAGCATCTCCCAAGTGAGAAGCGCCACGCTGAGCTGCCTTGGATACCTTCTGTGAGATCTTAGGTAGAATTGCAGTGTCTGATTTTGAGTCTCATCAGAGAAGTAGAACTTTTCTTTAAGCACTGACTGTGCAACATCTGTAAAGCAATTTCTACTTGATAACACTGATCATAATCTGAAGAGTGCAGCGGGTATGCAGCTTAGCCACTCTTAACCATGTACTCAAATTGATGCACAGTCTTTGTCATTCGATGTTTTGCTAGCATTTTATGGTAGTATGGGTCCATGAAAGAACAACAATCTCTGTTAGCAAAACGTGGTGTTATTCTAGGTGGATATCTCTGATTCATGATGCTGGAGCAAATGAATGCTTTAGTACAACCCCATTGTTAGGTGTCAGTGTGAATGTACATTCATCTTGATGTTTCTGAGCCAATATTTCCAGCAGAAACTGAGAGGTCTGTATTTAACCATTAAAACTGAGAGCAAAATTGCAAAGGACTACATGGAAGTAGGTCATCAAAGCATGCAATGATATGTGCAATCATGAAACACTTTCCAGAGATGTCCGTTGCAACTAAAAGTCATAACTTTATGGAATAACAAAAATGTCAATAGAGATCTCAATAGAAATTGGCTTTATGGCAAATTGTAATTCCTCTCTCCTCTCCTCACTTAGCCTTTTCATGTTCCACAGGCTATAAATTACTGCTCTCTTTCTTTCCATTAGAAGATAAGCACCTTATCACCTTTCCTCTTTTCTAACATCCTTATCACTCCACAGGCAGTAAGTATCTTTACTCCTAGGTGGTCTAATTGATACATATCTAATTAAAGGCAAAGCATTTTTTCTCAATTTGCATTCAGCTTTGAAGTATGTTGCTTTGATTTCAGACCTGAGGTACAGCTTCATGTACTGGAAATTTCTCCTTTTTCCAACTGTACTAGTTGATCAAATAAAATATACTACCCCTCTGTCCACAAACTTTGCCTTGCTTGTGTACCAATGCATTCATTTATTGTTAGTGAAAAAGAAAAGACAATTTTTCATGGGACTAGTTAAAAGGTATATGTGAGGACTGCAGCTCTTTAGAGCCTTAAATATTAGGACAAAATGTTTAAATACGATGAGACAGAGAAGAAGAGACTAAGGTAGATAACTGGATTAGCAAGAAAAATAATTTTAGATTTTATCTCTTACAAGGGGGCATTTTGTGTGAAAGGGGTACCAGAGATGAGAAAGCTAAATGTATAGGCAGGAGATAGCACCATCATCAAATTGTCTAAAGAGCATTATTCTACTTATCATTGTAGTGAATGTCTTGGAAACATTTGCATATAGTGAGACAGTTGATACTCCAAAGTTATACAGGATATAAAGAGAAAGAATGATCATTCTAATTTAAAAAAAAAAAAAAAAAAAAGGCCATGAATTCTCACCAGTTAAGAGGAGAAAGGAGAGGGAGAACCATTATATGTGCAACACTGAAATTTCCAGGCACCTTCCAGTTGCATAGCCAGCCTTTATGCAGAGATTTACTGTTGGTTGTTTTTTGGGGGGTTGGTTTGTTTGTTTTGTTTTTTCCCCCCAAATATTACAAGGGTTCATTTCAAATGTTAGGAGGTGTCTGTTCAGCACTGGGAGAAGGAGCTCTCTGTCCCCTAAGCAAATGATCCTGCAAGATGCAAGTTCTAAATTTCTTACCTTCTTGCGGCCTGCCTGCTGCAGGGGAATGAAATGGGGATGTGTGGAATTTAAGAGCTTTCGTAGGGAGCCCTCCAAGATCCTATTCCTTATCATTTTGTTTAGTAAGACTATCTTATTGGCAGTTGTTAATAAGGTCTGTAATGGTTTGGGTTTGGGGGGTTTTTTCCCAGCTAATTGCTCTTTTGGTTTGGGCTTTGGGGGCTTTTAAAAGTATGTGATAGGATTGCTGTTTATAATATGTAATAACCACAAGAATCTCACAGAGTTTTTTGAGGTCAGACTGTCACTATGCTTTTGTTTGCTTATGCTGAGCTAGTACTTGGCAGCTTGTGTAGTAGCTCAGCCATTCTCCAAATTAACAGGTTGTTCTTTGTATTTGAAGTGATTGAAGTGATTAGCATGTATATGCCTAAATAAATTACTTCGGGGGAGAGAGGGATCCAAATGGAGAAAACTGGTTAGATCCAAAGACAGGTTGCTGTAAGAACCACAATATGTTCAGGAAAGGACTTAAGTGAGAATAAAATCTCTGGCCTGAAACTGTATGGGAAAGTACAAGTTTACTCTAAAATCTTTGCTAGTGAAGGTTCAGGGATGTACATTTTGTCAATATTTCCCTGGAGGCAAAAGCCCTGTTGAGAAATATTCCCACGTTGAGGAAAAAAAACAGTTGCCAGTACAACAATTTATTTTTCTGCGATAGCAACGTTGGGTCAACCCTCCTCGGTTTTGGCTTCCTAAGTAACTCAAGAGCCTGTAGGAAAAGGATCATTGAAGTGCTTAAATTAATTTTAATAATATTGCCAAGTCACTTGTCTCAAACTTCTTTTTCGAAGGACTTAGAGTCTACATGGATATTTCTTTAAGAGCTGGCATTCCTATTTCTGTGAATCAGCAATAGTTCTCCTGAATCTTTTTTGCAGGGCTCCGTTATATGGCATCGTGTTGTCATGACAAGAGACTCCTGTGTTCCATAGAATTTTTAAGAGTTCACCTGCTGGTTAAGATCCCCTTGTATGTCAGCATGTGGAAGCAGCAGAGCAATTTTTATTTATTCTTAACTTACATACTTACAAATATAGTCTAAAAATAAAGGACTGGCCTGATTCTTTACATCTCTATACACACGGGTTTTGTTATTTTTTACACAAGTGACACCCTGGACTTAATAAAAGATAATGGGAGGACCCCGACTCATAGGTCTAAATGAAGCTGCAAAATACTGTCTTTCACCCTTGAACTACCTTTTATTTCCACGTGCCACTATACCATTGTATGATATTGGCTTTTGAATATACATGTGTTACATAAAGCTAATACATTGCTCTTGATTTTTGCTTTGCAGTACAGAATTGGACAACTGTACATGATAAGCAAGCACAGCCATGAGCAGAGTGACCGAGGGGAAGGTGTGGAAGTGGTGCAGAACGAACCCTATGAAGATCCAAACCATGGCAATGGTCAGCTGACAGAAAAACGGGTCTATCTTAACAGGCAAGTGCAATAAAACTGTTTCTCTCAGCATGGAGAATAAAATAAGTAATAAAAATTTGCAAGAAATATCCCTTCCAGGCAAGAGCCTTTCTGTTTTAAGTAGAACTTGTTCCCATGAATACATGCCACTTTGTGGTAGCCGCAGGAAGAGGGAAGGTGGGAAAGATCAGTGGCTTGAAATAAAGGGATTAGTTGTCATTTCTTCTAGAGTATCTTTTCCAAGAGAAAGAATTATAACTTGAAGTTAAGAATGTACTGAAAATCAGAACTTTTGTTTTCTTGTACACCTGTTTGTAATTTTGTATTCCAAAATTGGGGGAGGAAGCCAAAGAACTAAAAACCAAACCCAACAAGCACCCCACCCCCAAAAAACCCCCAAACAAACCACTAAAAATGTTTAAGGGCTTCTCACCTCATAATAATGTCACAAAGCCAGTATCCCATTTTTGGTGACAAGAGATTTGCTTCAACAAATTTAAGTGATACTATGAATGACCATTAGGCTTGTACAGTGATGACTTTCTGTACCAAAATAATAGGCTTAAAGACATCATGGAAAAAATAGCTTTTGTTTCCCCAAAGTTCCATGATTTCTTAAATGTGTCTCTTCCTATGGTGAAATTATACTGCTGAGGGTCAATGCCTCCACACTCAAAGGCTGGCGATGTTTTAATTTTTGTGTGTGTGTCCTATGAAATATATTGCTCAATCTGTTCCCAGTTTTACTACTGCTGATGTAATTGAATATTGCTACTTTTGTTGTGTTCTTCTATTCCCCTGAGCCTGTTTCGTTTTATTAAACTTATGCTCTGTAGCATTTCGTAGCTAGGGCATAGAAACACTATAGCTATTGCTTCTACATTGCAAGTTACTTCTCCGCTGCAATCCTGACATATCTAACCTTCACTCAGGCTAAACTGAATCACCAGCAATGTTGCGGGCACACACACACGTGAGTCCAATAATATATATCTTGCCAACATTTAATATTATTGCGATTGTAACTCTGTTCTCTCACAGACTAGATACAGAACTTGGGAAAAATCGATGTGTTCCTGTTGTAGAGCTCCCAGAAGTTTGGGGGTTTTATGTTTCTGGATATTTCTTTCCATCACGTTAAAAAGAAATAAGGCTTTAAGCACTGACGAGCGTATTCAGAATTACCACCTCAGGGTAATGGCAATGGAACGTTGACAAAGAATATCTGTGCCTACAAGTTGGGAAGTTTACCTAATGCTGTGGTGGATGTTTGAAGTCAGGCTCATTGAGTTTAATGATTATGAATGCACCTTGATAATCACCACCAGATTTGCTCTTTGAATCTGGTTTTGGTGTTACAATACCACCAGATATTGCAGTACTGCTAAAGCTTTGTGGAATGGATCAGCAGGTTTTCAGGCAACTATGGATTTTGCTGGGAGGCCAGGATCTTCCATCATCCACCACCCTAATAAACTTGCTAGCTTTGCTTCACTTATATTTTGCTCTGGAGTGATCTCTCTCCTGAAGAAATTTGAGCTTATAAATTCGGTGATGATTTCTTGGAAAGATCTGTGCATTATTTTCATTTATCTTTTCTTGCCTGATAATAGTTTAATTCTTGCAGAGGATCTTCTTGCTTGCCAATGGTTTCAGCTGGAATGCCTTTAAGAAACACTTCCTCCCTATGTGCTGAAAGGCTGAATTTCATCTCAGGAAGGAAGGAATTTAAAAAAAAAAAAAAAAGAGAGGGAATGTGTTTCACAGATACCTGTGCTGCTAAAATATAAATATTATTTTTTCTTTCTCTGAATGGACCCTTGGAACAATTCATGTGTCACTATTATTGTAACCTGCTGGAAACTCTGAGAATAATGTGTGTTTTGCTCATAAAATTATTTGTTTTGGAGATGTACTGTACCGGTGAAGATAGGTAGACAAATACACTAAAAATAACAATAACCATAAAAAAAGTGCAAAATGAGCAGCTGTATGTTAACAAAGACATTAGTAATAAAATTTTCTAGTGTCAGTGTAAGCCTTAGTTATATTCAGAATTGCTTACTGGCTCTCCTGCTGGAGCAGTGTTTCAGAAGCTGAAAGTCTGCATCCTCTGGTATTTATTATTTAGGCATTAGAATAAAGTTTAGCAGGGGTAAGGGAGGGAGCAGAGAGAGAGTCATAAAAAGAGACTGGCAGAGGCTGACAAAATAAACAAAAGATCTGATACAGTGAAGTCTATTACGCAGTATGTCAAATGCTGCTTAAAACTGTACACAAGAAAGGTTTATGTAAAGAAAAGAATCTGGTTTTGAGCAACGTCATCAAAGAGCAAAAGTCAATGCACTTGACTTTGAATCTTTAGATAATGTACTGACATCTGCATTTTGCCTCTGGACAAACACAATATTTATGCGTAGCTAGATTATGGTTAAATAAGCCTTAATGATCCAAACTGTATTTTCTTCAGAAATTTGCTAATATGGAAAGTTAATTTACTTTCTGCACGCAGTTATCTAAACATGACTTTTTCAAACATTTACACTTGGAAAATTGAGGTTTGAAAGCATCTAGTTCAGTAAAGATTCAGTCTTAGGCTGGATGATCTACTCGAAGCATCACCAGACTAACACGATTTTAACTGAGTTTCTGAAGTACGGTGATATTTGCAGTCTCCAAAGGTCTGCCTTCCGTTGAGTGACTTTACTGCATCTTTGGTACCAGCAGCTTCGGTGCTTATAATTGGTGTCATTAAGAAAGGGTTGAAAGATGAATTCTCATGAACTTGACTTCTTTTTAAAATGTGTGTTTGTTCATCACTTCTTTGGTACCCTGAGTGACCAGAGTTCTGGAAATGAGACACCCAAGATCCATGGTAAAGAAAATGCTCCCATTCTTCCATACTATTATTTAATTACTCTTTAATGACCTTTCCATGTGCTATATCCATGTTTTTCATTTGTTATTCTACTGCTGTTGTACCACTGCATTGGTAAGTTCTCTTGACAGATTGAGCTCTGAGCTATGACATCTGTTCCATTAATTCTCTTAACTTTTGTGATTTACTTTTCCCATCAGCTAAATGGGACTAATACTGCCTACCAGCCTTGCAGAGGTGTTTTGAGTGATTTGTTAATTTTAATATAAAAGCTTCCTACTCAAGAGTTGGTTGGTAGCATAGGAAAAACTGTGCACTAGGTGAGTTGAACGTGAGGGTTTGTGTGCCAGCAAAGAATATGGAGGAAGAAGAAATAGCCTCTAAGACGAAGTAATGGCTTCGCGATCGAAGTGGACTGAAATCACGTATTTACTCGTGACCTCTTGTTAGAGAGTGCCTCCCTGTGGTTAAGGGTACTGGGACACAGGTACACCTTGTGTGGTCTAACCTGCTGAGTTCATCCGTGACCAAAGGTCTGAGGCCAAAAATTCTTGAAATCTGCATTGAAACCTCAATTGAGATCTGATCAGAGGTTATTGCAGTGGCACCACGTTGCTCACTTTGAGTGAGGAACAGACAGACTTGGTTTCACATATGCTTGTGTAGAAAGCTGAGACAGAATGCATACTCATGAGGTGAAAATACTGTTGTGAAGTCAAGGTATTGCTGTATCCTGTGAAATCCCTGTCCAATTATGAGCACGTTTGGAAGTATCTTCTTTTCCACAATACTCAGAAGTCATAACATATTCTAATTTTATATTTTCTTTTTATTTTCAGCAAACTGCCTAGCTGGGCTAGAGCAGTTGTTCCCAAAATATTTTATGTTACAGAGAAGGCTTGGAATTATTATCCTTACACAATCACAGGTAAGGAATAAAGCAGAAATGATTACTGACTTGTATTTTTTGGATAGTTTAGCTTATTTCCAGAAGCTCCAAGTTACATATTGAGCCACAGACGCCAAGTTACTTTAACAGCTCCTGTTGAACTGCATATATTTTTCCATTGGCTGATAGCAGGAAATGAAGTTTATAGACTATTGATAGGTAAAAATGGAGTGTTGTATCTATGCAATTTCTTCCTTGCAAAGAAAACATCAGGTGCTTAGATTCTGTGCTGACTTGTAGCTTTTATTGTTGCATAGACTTGAGTAAAATATAGATCAGCAGATTATCTGACACAATTTTTTTTTATTATTAATGTATGTTTACTGTAAGGATCTTGCATCATTGTTTTATTTCACATTTCTTTTTTTTTCTTTTCCCTCATCATTCTTTTTTTTTACAAATGGACAATTGGAAATCAGAATACACAGTAAGTTTTTCTTCCTCTTTTTATTCTAAAAATAGAATAATTATGTGAAATACAGTAGTGGAATCCAAACTGATTCCTTCTTTATATTACTAACACATAATGCATTCAACAGTGGAACTTTATTTTATCTATTTGTTTAAGAAATTTAAGGTTAAACTTGAAGTGTTTCTGTGGGGATCCTATAAATTATTTACCTTATTTTTATCACTTCAAAATAATTTGATATATTTTTAGTCACTGACTGTAACAAAGAGAAGCTTCTATAAAACAGGGCAAGGCTTTTAAGGTTCCAGTTATTACGTGGAGACATGAGAACAGATTTTATTTTATTTATTGTTTTATTAACTTATAAAATGCTCATCTCTGGTATAGTATCTGGGAAACTGTACAGTCTGTAGACAAAATTAAACATAATCTGGGCATAGTGCCCAGAAAAATCAACTATTCCCTCTAGCAGAACTAAGGCAAAATATAGCACATAAATCATGAGAAAAATTGTTTTAAATGTGCTGGCCTCAATAATACACAGTAAGTTTTCAGCACACTTCGGAAGATGAGGAGGAGACAGTGAGGAAGTTCCAGGTGAAGGGACCTTTCAGAAACTCCTGCCTTGATTTAGTTTGAACTTCTGACTGTAAATAAAACATAATCCACTTGTTTTTCTTAACTCTGTAGAGCTCAAAATGCTAGTGCATTTTTAAAAAAAAATAGTAGAGAATACAGAGAGGAAAAAGATTTTAATGTGATAAATGTGAAAGAGAAAAAATAAAGGAATGTACAGGCTCAGATCTGAAAGCTGGAGTCTTAGAGTTGAAACTGTGATGACCAGGTTTGAAAATCCAAAGTACCAACCTGTGCTTTTCAATATACACTGTAGATACTTATTACATATTCCCCTTTTTTTTATCTTTAAAACTCACTTGATTGTCAGAGGAAACCCAAATGTCCCATAATGGACAGTAGTAAGGAGGATTCTTGCTATTTTTGTCCGAAGGTATCTTCAGTAGGGCCTATCGCAGTTTACATTAATTAAGGGTTTACCCTTTGATAGCAGGTTTAATCTTAGGCTGGGAAGATGACATGTGCTATGTTGCATTGATGTCTCTTACTTACACTCTGTTGTATATTTTTTCTTTAACTTAAAGTAAATTTTAATTTTTCCATGTGATTTTTTTTTTCTTTAACTGAAAGAGACAAATAGGAATGATTAAAAGGGTGGCAGCAGACAGAAATATATGTCTGCATTTGAAATGCAATACATTATCAAAACCAAATAGCAATGCTGTACTCAGAATTTGATTAGGAGTTGATCGTTATCTAATCTGATGAGACAACACCTGGAACACATTTAATTGAAGGTCTGGAGAAGGTATACAGCTACAGACATGTGCAAGAGCATCAGCAAAAATGATTGCAGGGTTGAAGAGACTTGTAAAGAAAAATTAAATCGGTCTATAAATGTAGAAGGTAGGCAAAACAGTTACTAAGTGACAGTAAAACTGCCTATGGGAGTTGGGGACTAATTACTCTCCATGGTGCAAGGAAACAGAACTAGAAATATTGGGATGAGATTAACAGACTGTACTTCAGACAAAAATCTAAAATATATTTTAGTGGAGCTGATAGACTATGAAATTGTCTTCAAGGGAAACGGAGAAAGTGCCTTTGCCTCAAAGTGTTGAATCTAGAACAAAAATGTTAAATATACCACTGGGAATGATTCCTATCCTTGTCTGGAATATTTCTCTAAATTTTTATCTTCTATATTCATTAGAGAATTCTGAAAGAAAGAATAAACCCACAGACATTGCCCAAAATATGTAAAATAGCTTAGAAACTCTTTTCTTAAAGATAGTAAATTCCCTCCAAAGGGTCTGCGGGACATCCTAAGAATTAAGTTGAGCCTCATTTGAAGGAAAACTGATTCTAAAGGCAGGCCAATAATTGGATAAAGAAAGCATAATCTTATCGAGTCAAGTACATACTGCTATGTAGTATGTTCACACCTTACTTAAGCTCCTAAGTTCCACTATAAATAAAGAGCAAGGACCTTAAAAGCTCAGTGGTGTTATTTCAGTGTATGTTGGTGATTTGGAAGAGGATATGAACAGCAGACTGAATCTTGGTGATAGTCTTAAGGTTTTTCAGTTGTAAAATATGAAGGCTGTTGAGAAATTGAATGCTAGTGTATGTGCTTGAATGCAGAGATTCAATGCACAATAATTTCATCAATGTTTTTGCTGAGAAATATTATTAATTTCATAAATATGACCTTCTTAAGGACCTGAAATTAGGACATCCTCTAAGGAAAAAAGCTCAGCAGGTGTTGAAGCTAATTTCCAGAATATTGTTCTCTGCAACGGTAGTATAAAAAGCCAAGAGCGATTGGATACATGAAATCAGGAATGGAAATTGGAGTGTCATGATGTTATCTGTAATCTGGGTCCAGTTATTATGGCATCTGCTTTAAGGAATGGTGTTTGTTACACAGCAAACCCCTAAATCTGACGGCAAACAGCAGGAGGTGACTGCTTGGTCTACTACCAAGTCTCGACAACCATATTAATAATATGTAAAGCAAATGACACACTTAAGATAATGAGCTTAACAGAACTATTGCACTAGTGATGCTGTTGTGGTGTGTAATATGTGAAGTATTGTAATGTCAGGAGAGCATTTTAAAACGTATGCTATGCTGTTTGTGGAGGAAGACCTCATTAAAACTGCAGTACAAAAGACTTCCTATCAGGAAGATGAGACATGGGTGATGTCCCAAGAAATGCTGTATCAAAGCGTGAGCTAATCCTCCCAAGCTTCCTCCTGACATTGAGAGGGAGAAGGAAGTGGAAAAAATACTTTCAAAGTTGAAGCCAAAAGAAGTCATCCAGATTTGGGGGTGCTATTTAGAGAATAAGATATTCCTAGGAAGTTCAAACCCTTCTTTTAGTGGCTGGGGCATTACTTAAGAACTGTATGTGAAAGAGTCCCTTAAACTTAAAACAGGAGGTGCTTTGGTTTTGATCTTGTAATTAGAAACCTCACAAGATATCTTGCTAACATAAATGTTTATCTATAAGTTCATTTAATGTTGTGATTAGGTTGGTGTTAAGCTCATAAATTTGGGATAGTGTATTTGGGATACAGCTGAAAGGGAGCCCTATAGAAGTAACTCCTAGGGACCTGCTCTCTGAGCCATTACAGGACTTGGATAGTGGTGAGTGCCTGCTGTCAAGCTGCACGTGCTGTTGGCGAATGCGTGTTGCTAGCTGCTGGCTTTTAGAAAGAGTTCCTCTGCTAGTCACAGGCCTTTTTCACTTGGAGGATGAAGGAAAGATGTCTTGCAGCTCTCAACAAACCATCATGTGCCAGCCTATCACTGCATTTGCAAATATGTATCTTTAGTGTAAAATATTTATGCTATTCTTAGATATGTGGACAAGAATGGCTGAGCTTTCAGAAGGCTTTCTTATTTTTCTTTCGGAGGTTGTCCAGCTAGATTAGAAATAATTAACTAGAAAGCAAACCTGTCTCTATTGCAAACCAAATGAAAGAAGAATGCATAGAACTAAATTTCTTTACCTGCATTGGGATATTGTTAGACCATAAGCAGCACAAAGCAAATGTCCATTTCATAGAATCATAGAGTCATAGAATGGTTTGGGTTGGAAGGGACCTTAAAGATCATCTAGTTCCAACCCCCCCTGCTGCAGGCAGGGACACCCTCCACTAGACCATGTTGCCCAAAGCCTCATCCAACCCGGTCTTAAACACTTCCAGGGATGGGGCATCCACAACCTCTTTGGGTAACCTGGGCCAGTACCTCACCACTCTAACAGTAAAGAATTTCTTTCTAACCCGTTCAAGTGACAGTTGAGATTCTGGACAAAAAGAGAGGAGCCTCAAGCAAACAAATAATCAGATCATGAACATATGGTGACTCAACCACGATACAAAAAATTCATATGATCAAAGTACACTGAAAATGAGCCTAACAAAGTTTAGCTATCAAGTTTGAGTACAAAGACATTGGGAAAAATACAAACAGAATTTAAGCAAACTCTTCTGACTTTGAAGGTGCAGTTCAGGTGTTTACCAGGGATAATTTCAAATAGTTTTGCTGTATGATCTGAACAGCCCCAGTGTTGTTAGCAATATTTTGATTCTGGGGCTGCAGTTTAAAAGCAGCTGGATAATTTTTTGATGCGTAATGTATGGCCAATTGTTAGTTTCACAATTATAAGTATCTAATGCAAAATAAAGATTAAAAATGGCATGTTATACTCTCTGCAAGGAGGAAGAGCATTCTTTCAGTCTGCCAATGTCTCAAATTAACTTAGGAATAGGATATAAATTCAGAATATTTATGAAAAACAGTTACGGAATAGAAGGCAGGAGACAACAATTCCTTTGATGATATATCACAATGACACTAATTCTTCTACAGCAAATGACTGAGGCAAATATAATTATTTCATCTGGTATGTGTCAAGGCCCAGAGTGATAGTTGCTAAATGTTCCATTATTGACCTGCTGGTTTCTGATTACTTTTGAGGACAGGCATGCTATGTGCTTCACTTAGTCAGCTGCCAGTTTGTCCATGAAGTAAATTATCTGGAAGGAATGTTTCTGTAATTGTTATTTTTATAATCAGATGACTTGAGAAGAAAAAAACCGACTTGTTTCAGATAAACATTGCAAGGCATCTGTAGAGGTTTTTTCCTGTGTTCTCTTTATCTGAGTACCAGTGCTTGAAATTTGGATGTAACCCATCAGTCTGCAGTGCACAAACGTTTCTCCAGCTTGACTATATGGAGAGTCTGCATCAAAAATGCAACAGAATCTGTACTGCAGGATTAGAGCCTAAAACAAAGTTACTACCAAAATTCCTCCCCTCTCACCCCCAACTTAGAAGACAGGCTAACTGGTGACATTACTCTAGTAAAACATAGATTTTGTTCCATTAGATATTCCAGCAAAAGGAAGGACCTCTGTAGATTTAC